GTCAAGAACAAACACGACATTAATCAAGCCACCCACTGCGCTGGATCATAACAAAAACTCAAGTTGCTCATATGGACTTTGATAGATGCTCATTTAATAGATGCAACATGTGAAGTGGTTGTAGTTTGTGGGTTTCTGGGTGCTTGGGATTGGTGTGTGCTTTGCAGGCTGATGTTGGGTATAATTTGGTAATTAAGACTCTCTGTATTGTGTTTTGCTCACCTTGCTGGCGTTGTGTGAGCGGTGGGATTTAAAAACGAGCGGCCTCATGCTGTTCTGCACACTGTCCTCTGCAGCGTGGTGAGGGGAGGAGGGCGGCTGGGATTGGCTTTCATAAAGCGTATGAGTCACTTTCATTCTGAGCTAGGTTTCCTCCTACATATAAATCACTTAAATTCTTAAAGGGTTAGCAGCTCTTAAGAGGGTGAGTCATTCAGACAGAATTAACAACACTTCATTGAGCAGAGAAAACATGACTGAAGGAATTAATAGGGGGTTGCTGAGAAAATCAAACGTCAGGCAGGTTTTCAGATTGTCGGAGATCAAAGGTGGAGACGGCGATAATTAAAAACCTTCTATCTGCATCCCACATCGGTCTGACCCTCCACCAGCGCCACTTTCATTCCTCACTAAGCCAAAGCTAGAAGTGGATTGTCAGTTCAGGAGAGGTTTGCTGTGGGCTGCAGCAGGATTTTACAATAAAAGTCTTTTCTTGAAATTGATTTTTTTTTTCTTATTGTTATTTTAAACTGATGCAACCCTGAGAGATGATAGCCGCCCGCTACAGAGGGAGGCTCGGAAAGAGTTGCATGAACTTACAGCATTGCTTTTAATTAAAGCAAATAAACACACAAACACTGCAGAGAAGAAGATGTTCCATTATCAGACCATGAGGCTTTATTTACTTTTACTGTTTGATGACTAACTCCAGTCTAAAGTGTTTTATCTTATCTAACGAATGCTCATTGGCCGATGTGAGCCAGTAGTTCTAAAATATACGTAGCTAGCTATATAGCCTTTGTTTGTTTAGATGTTTGGTGAACATTTTGCGTTAACCACTTTGTTGTCGTGCTTTAATATCGACGTTTCTACTCTACCTGTTCTGTGTAAATCACTTTTTTTTTTCCTTTGAAATAAAATGTTTTGAGATCAGCATAATCCCCCCAGAAGGTCCGTCAGCAGCTGTTCTGGGGTTTTCAGTCATTTCTTCCTCAGCAAGTAGAATTTTCCCATAAAGTTGTCGTAAAAAATAGAGTTTACAGCATTTAAAGCATTGAAAGTAGAAGAAATATATGGAAACCGTGATCAGCTTTGATATTGTAGGAACCTGCTATAAATTAGGAAAGAACATGTTTCCGCTTTATAAGGTGAATAAATTCTAAGATCTCCTCCACTGTGTGAAACGGGCCGACGTTCAACTGGATTTTCTGTTTGGGGTAGACTAAGACGATTGTGGTCACAGGGGCAGGTGGGGGGCGGCTAATGAGTGGAAACAAAACTCGAACAGTTTTAACGTGCTTTAAGAAGGCGTGCTTCGGCATTATCACTATCGCATGTTGTTTTCTCCTCAGATGCTTCGGGACGTTACAGTTGAGCCTAAAAAACTTGTTGCGCAAATTTAAACAAAACCACAGTTATGCTTGTGTTCCCATTTTCAGACCCGATGAGCCTGTTTGGCTGAAAACTGCTGTTTGGTTTCCGGGTCGAAGCTGACGACCTCGGCACCAGTGATGACTGACGTGGAGGTTTTGTCTGCATCCACTAATATGGTGCAGACTAATTCTAAGTGTCAACATCAGACACAACAGGGCGCCCCGTTAGCTCACCTAGCTGAGCAGGTGACCCGTGAATAGGGGCTATAGTCCCCGACACAGTGGTCGTAGGTTCGACTCCCACTTACGACCCTTTGCTGCAGGTCTCACCCTATTCTTCTGCCCCCTTTCCTGTTGATCTCTTCTGCTCTAAAAGAAGGAAAAATGCCCCAAAAATATATTAAATAAAAAATAAATAAATTTGAACAATTTGCTGAAAAACGTTGATGTGAATTAAAATGCATCAGTTTAAGTTATTTTGTCTGAGATTTAAACAGAAATTCTGTTACATCTGCTGAAGTGGACGTTGAAATGTTCTTCAGAGTTGAGACAAGATCACAGTCTGTTATTTATCTTTACTGATTAAATGATCTGCACAAGAAGAGGTACGACTGTCTGCCCTCAGTTTGTCAGCTGGATAAACGTTACCACCCCCTGACCCTCGTCGGCACCAAAAATACGAGTTGGTCGAACCAATTATTCATCTTTGATGTTTCAAACTAGCAAGATTGAAAGTGGGACAGCTGACATCCCATAAAACCAGCATATATATATATATATGTATATATATATATATACATATAATAATTTGATGCAGAGAAAGAGAGGAAACATGATTAATTCAGCACATGTTAATCTGTGAGGTGTTATTCTAAATGTAAACTTGTGTTTGTTGTTGTCATGTTTTGTTGGATACATGGAGCGTTGATGAGTGCTGTGCAAAGAGCCTCACATCTGAGCGACATTTAAAATATGGTTTGGTGACTGAAGAATAGATGAACATGTTTATCAGTGAAGTTGTGCTCAGTGTTGACGGCTTTGTGCAAGTTTTCTTTTGGACCAGTTGAATGGTCTGAATTTCATTTTCCATTCATGTGATGGGAAAACAGTCTTTAGGAACATCTCTAATAAAAAGACAAGAGCAGCTCCACAGTCCGTCCAATGCCGAGGCCGACCTCTCCAACATTATTTCTTCCACACTTTGTGGATCTTGCTGAGCTTGGAGGAGCTGCTGCCGGAGCGTCTTTGCGCCGCTGAGACGGATCAGTCCTGCTTCTGTTGCTCACAGGGTGACGGGTTCTTGTGAAGGTTGGAGCCTCCTCACGCCGCTCTGCAGGGAGGTTGGCGTTTCGCTGCTGCATCTTCTCGCAGGCCTCGTCCATTTTGAGGCAGACATTGGCTGTGATCTTATCAGCTGGAATTCGAGCAGCTCAGCTTATGAACTTCCCACTTGAAAGACTTCGTCTTACAGCTCAGAGCCACTTGCATCTGGTCACTGCGCTCTTTAACTGTCTCCTCAGCTCCTGCGACACAGTAGATGTACTCATGTGAACTTCTTCCAGCTGGGTCTTTAAATATTCACAGCTGTCTGCCTGCAATACGACAGGTGCTGTTGGAACTGAGACTCTTCCTGCTGGGCTTTGAGGCCAGCGTTCTGCTCCATCAGATTAAACTTGAATGTGCCTTCCTCTGGTTTCCAGCTCGGCGTGGCTGCACGGCGCCACGTTCTGTAACCGTACCGATCCCGTTAATGGACAAACTTGGAACATCACGAGGCTGGATGCTTCAGTACCAAGGCAAAACTGTAAAAATATGACGCTACTTGTTTTTTCTACAGTTGCTGTGTGTACTGGAGACGGTAACGACGTCGCTGTTTGTTGAATGATGGCGGCGAGTGCAGGTGCAGCAACCCCACGCTCCCGCTTCCCTCTCCCAGGCCTATAATTACCTTTATCAGTTAACGGGGCTAATTTATTTTGTCATGCCCCAGTAAATACTTAACCCAAATAATATTATTCACACTCTACGGGACGGTTGGACTGCTTCATTGGCATGCCTGGGCGCTTCATTATCGGCGTGCTCGGCGCCGGGGGAGATGCTGCGATGCGTTGTGGGAGTGGGAAGGCAGGGTTACTGAAGTGAGAAAACCAGGGGAGGCCTGCTTTGGATAAACCACCTTATTCCCCCTCCCCAAGGGCAGCAATCAATAGGTGATTGCAGATCTCTGTACAAAAACTCTGCTCTCAGTCCATCTGCTGTAGGATGGCGGGCGTCCTGGATGCAAACCTCTGCAGGATTCACAGCAGATCCGCGCTCAGCTCACTGGCCTGATTGTTCTGTTTTAATCTCACTTCAAGAGTTTCGGATTTAAAAAGGTAATTTTCTATCTAGCTGGAAATTTTAGGGGATTAAAACACCGTCTTCAGCCGTTAAATATCAGTGAAATCTCACGTGTTTAATTAAGATGAGTACGAGCTCATCCTTGTCTCTGCAGATGGTGAATCTTAATCACGCTGCTCCTCATACAGTTGGCATCACCGCTGCTATTTGTTATTTTATTTTATTATTTCTGTGTAAAAAAAAAATACTAATTTCCCACAATTATTATCACAGAGAGCAATTTAAAACCAAATGAGGGTGCCTTAGTAGAAACTGATTATGTAACACCTGAGAAAGACGTAATAATTGACAATTAGTGTTAAAAACGTTGAACACACCAGAGCTGCAGCGAACATTGATTTTAATAGTCAGTCTGCTGATTATTGAATTAAATAATCAGCGATTCAGATTATGAATTGCTCAGAGGCTGTTGTTTTAAGGCATTTAAATTTTTAGCTTGAGGTTGTTTCAGAGATACGGTGACTCACAATAGATGCAGTTTGTATGTGTTTGGTGATCAAAACCAGAACTTCTGTGCAGGCAGCATGCTAACAGGTACAGGCTGCTAAAGACACACACAGAGCCGGTAAATACGTACAACTCTGAATTTAAATTTGATTTTTGATTTTCATGGTCAGAACTGATGCAAATGTAAGAAATCAAGTGGTGAACGTGGAAAATCGGTTCATATACATATTAATTTTAAAGCATTTTGGGATTGTAAACAGGAGTTTGATCTACTTTGCTCTCTCTGCTCAAAATAATAATGCATCACAATCAGTGTTGCTGTTAATCAGTGTCTCAGACTGTTCTCTTAATATAACAAGAAGAACCAGCGGCACACGGAACATAGACGATGGTTTACAACAAACTGGCATTTGAAGGGTTAAACAATTAAAAATGAATGAATATTTTAAATGAATGATAAGAACTGATGTTAGTTAAAAACTTTATGCAGCAAAAACATAAAAAAATCTAAAACTTTACAGACTGAGCCAGAGGGTTAATTCGTACGTGTTTGCTGGTCTGCTGGCTGCTGCATCGGCTACACAGCAGCTGCTGTGGTTCTTTTTCGACTGGAGACCGGCGACGTGCTGACGGCACCATTAAGGCCAGTTATTGTTATAGCAGCTTACCCAGGATGCCTTGCTCAGCTCCACCAAACACTAGGTGGTTGAAGACTGTTGATCCTGGTTATTCTTTTTGGTCCGTACATCCCCAGATTGTGAAAAGGTGTGAATATGATCATGTGACTCATATCAGGTATGAACACATCCCACTCCGGTTAGCAGTCATGTCTTCATGTCAGAGCATTTAGCAGCTATGCTACCAATTACTCAACTAATTAATTCTTTGGCAACTAATCCTGTGGTTGATTTTTGTCGTTTATTCTCTGGACCTCTATGACACACATAATGTTTTTTATAATGTATAATGCAAGTTTGTAATTATTCCATAAAGTGAATTTTAAGTGTTTTTAGGTAATTTTGCCCTCATTAGTTACCTGTTCCTGCATTTAGTCCTTTATCTTTTGAAGTCAAACCAAGTCCATAAAATGCTGTATTCCTTATATTCATGAAAACAGTGCATACTAAGAGAAGATCCATAAAATGTCGGCGAGGGTGTCTCTGTCGTTGTGCCCTTTGTGTCTCTCTTGTGCTTCCCTTGTCTTTCTTTGTGTTCACCTTTTTCCCAATATGTTGGTTGAGTTTAAAAACTGTTAGGAGTCAGTGTCGACCTTCTGTCTCCTTTATAGTAACTTCAGGCTGGAATTATTACAAATTTATTAAGTTCTTTTTAAATCCTAGTCTGCAAATTAGTCAATAGCTTTAGTTGCCTCATGAATCTGATGTTGTAGAAAACAAACAAGTACTTTAGAATTGTCCTGAAGTTCTGGACGTACATAAATGTGACTGAAGCTCTGTTGAACTGACGTTTTACAGGTTGGAAATGTACATGTAGACGCAAGGTGTTGAAGAAGCGTCGGCTTACTGAAGAACATGAGGTCAGGTGCTTGTTTACCTGTGAGAACATCACTGGGTTCTGTGTTTACGCGATGCAACGTGCATTTTAGTGTGTTGGACGTGCAGCTAGCAGCAGATGTTGCCTTTGTTTCATAAAAGCACAGTTTGTTTTAGAAGTTGGCTCAACAGGTGTTCGTCTCCGAGGTTACAAAGTACGAGACTTTTTTTGTTTTTACATCTTGATTGTGATTCCAGACTGGGGTTGTGTTTGGTGTCGCTGACGGGTTGTTGTTTATGAGTGTGGAACAAAAACATGGATTCTCTTCATCGTCTGAAATCATTTCCCACTTTTGGAACAAGACTGTTGTACTTACTCCTGTTATGAAATGTTTCCTCCACAGACACATCTACGTGATCCCAGCCTTCACCTGGATTCTGACTCCGGCCATCTTATTGGCCCACACCGTCATTCAGCCAATCACGTCGCTGCTCACCCTCCTGAAGGGAATCCTGCTCATCGTCACGGTAATGCTCATTCTCTTTAGTATTTGTCTGGATGGTGAATCATGACTCAACAGTTTTGATCAATATCAGTGTGATGAGCTGCTGTTTGAACGGACAGCGTCTGTGTCCGGTGTGATGTCATTTCTCCTGTTTCACAATCAAACCTTAAATGTTTCAGTGCAGATGTATGACTGCTGATGATTCACATTATTTCAGCGTTTAGCGTGAATTTCACACTCAGTGGCCACTTTATCCGTTACACCGAGCTCAGACTAATACGGTCTAATACGACATGGCTGAAATAAATCCTGATAAATCTTTTAGAGAGCCACTGATTCAACCGTGCTCTTGAGTTGAGTTGTTTTTGTTATTCAAGTGGACAAACTGTGAAAACTCTTTGGCAGCATCACACAGAGCAACAAGAGACGGACTGTTTTTAGTGCGCTTTCATGAATTTATTGACGAGGTGTTCAGATAAATGTATTGCGGGTGTATCTCATGAACTTTGTGTGTCCTGTACGTCTGTCTTGTGAAGTGTGTTTTCCAGACAGCGGCGTGTGTCATAATTTCCTTATTGCTCATGAGATTTATTTACTTTTTGGTTTATTCTAAGGCACACATCAGGTTTAGATTCTATCAGAAGATTACAAAACCCAAATCGTAGCCTGTTGCACAAGAGTTTGAGCAAAAAGTCAGTTAGCATCAGGGTTTCCTGCTCTGGACGGATGCAGTTTGTGTCCAATCTCACGTCTCTTCTTCTCGGTTTAGGTGGTATTTTTTTTAGGGAACTTCTAAAATGCTAATTGTTTGTTTGCCTCAGCCACCGTGAGATGAGTTAGTTTCCTGGTTTGTGGCAACGGTTTGTGTTTCTTGTTCAGTTTTTGCAGTTGAGAGACATTTCTGAGACCACAGGCAGAGAGAGGAAGCTGCATCTGACCTCAAGTGGTGCATTTAATTTATTAGTAATCGGAAAAATACCACATATTGGCCATGATAGTGAGCCAGGCCGATGATCAGTCCATCCCTGATGTAGTATCCCAGCCTGGGATAAGGACCGAGATAAGAGCTTAAAAGGAAAGTAGTTAAGTTAGCCTGAAAGCAGCTGAAGGCTCATATGGTTAAGAGCTCTTGTGTGTTGCTATATAAGTACTGAACTATCCTACCATATATGACGACCATTCCTTCAATCAATGGAGCTATTTTTGTGTTTTCTTGGAGCTTTAGATGAATAAGATGTTATGAACTGATGTAGCTCCTATGTGACGTACCGGCTAATGAGTGGATAACATACTTAGCTGCCATCATCTGTCCTCCTCTTTACACATCTATACAAACTACAAACAAAACAATTAACAAACTGCCATTGACAAATATAGCATCCAAAGACCAGGGAGGCAAAGCTTTATACAAGAAGAAACCAGTCCTGCCTTCAGGATGCTGCGTTTTGCTCGTTTGTGGACGATGTTTGATAAAAAACAAAAAGTCACACACTGACCATCACTTTAACTTTATTTATGCCGTGTTCAGGCTTTTTTCTGGCAGAATTCATACAGACGATGCAGCCTCAGACAAACAACGCCAAGCAGGGCTTTACTTTATGCAACAGGTTCCTCTGGGAAAACTACAGAAAAACACTTCTTTACAAATGACTCTCATATTACACCATGTGGCCGGCAGGTTCTGGAGACAGAGGCACTGAAGGCAAGTTGAATAGAGAGCTGGGAAGCGTAATATTTTAAACTACAACCACAGAAGTGCAAGGAAAATGTAATGCAAGGAATATATTATCATCATATATTGTATATCACCAGAAGAAATCAAAATATATTTGACAGTAACAATGCCTGAAATAAAAAAAACCCAAAGGACCCCACATAACTACACACAGGGCGTCCTAGAATAGTTCTTGAAGAGACTGAAGATTGATTCTACTGTTTATAAATCAGAAAATCAAAGAAAAAAGAAGCAATAAAAAGCTGTATTAAAGTATCCAGATGCTGTTTGTGAAGGGATGGAGCTGCAGCAGCTGTGAACCAGCCACTGCTTCTGTGGTAAGAAGAAAAAGATGGACCAAGAAGAGGAGATCAGCAGAGATAAAGTAGAGATCAAACTTTTATTACAGCTGCCAAACTTCAGAGAAAATAATACAACTCTCAATATCAGTGTTTGTTTGTTGATGCTCTGTAAAACAATTTTGACTCCGTCAAAGTCAGAAGTCAAAATTACTCTGTTACGGTTCCTAAAGAAAGTTTGAACACTCGTATTGTGAGTCTGAGGCGCTGAAGGATGGAGCAGCAGTGACAGGATGTTAATATGTAGATAGGTTAATGTCTGTGTAGTTTAATTACTGCCTCGATGTTGACATTTATGCACTAATATGTACATATCTTCCACTACAAAGAGTCGAACTGGAGTTTTGTATTCATGCTTGTTATGTATTTGAAGTAATAAAATCATGAAGACGAATCAAACTTCTACTAAGTAAGATCTTCACGTGTTTATTTACCCGCTGTAACGTTCTGCTTACTGTATGGGAGCACTGGTTAGCACCGTCGCCTTGTAGCTAGAAGGTCGCCGGTTCACGACACCCGGGATCTTCCTGCGTGGAGTCTCCATGTTCTCCCCGTGCAGCGTGGGTTCTCTCCGGGTTCTCCGGCTTCCTCCCACAGTCCAGAAACATGCTGAGGTTAATTGGTGATTGTAAATTGTCCGTAGGTGTGAATGTGAGTGTGCTTGGTTGTCTGTCTCTAAGTGTAGCCCTGTGATAGACTGGTTACCTGTCCAGGTGAACCTGCCTTCACCCTGAGTCAGCTGGGATAGGCTCCAGCTCCCCATGACCCTAATGAGGATGAAGGTGTAGAGATGATAGATGGATGTTTTTCCCAGTTTCAAACTCAGGATAGCTTCGACTGTTCTGAGCATGCATGTAAGGCTCACTCTCAAAACGACCAATCATGAGCTGGATTCAGTTTTTGCTCGTCCTCATTTACAGAAACTAATCCAACAAACCTGATCTGTACTTCTTGGTCATCCTTTGGTATATTTTTCCTCTTAGCTACTTAAAACATGTCTCACTGTCTCTGATGGTAGACGAACAGCTCCTAACTGGTCACACAATCCAAAGATCTCGGGAATTTACACCCAGTTTCCTTGAATCAACATTTCTGCACCTGTAAAGCTTGATTGCTTTGCTTGGCGTTAGACATTTCTTTAAATGATAGAGTCTAGTGAAAGCAGTGTTTAGCAGGTAGCCATATAAAACATCCTTCACCTTCACGCTTTACACTTTTCAACTTCGTCCTCAGTCACTCCCTAAAAGTGTATGTCTTTCAGCTATTTCTACTTGGATGTAATGTCATCATGGCTGCTGGTGTACGGTGTGAGGTCATGCTGGAAAAATGGATGGAAGTGCACCGTACACTTGTCACTTCCCGCAGAAGTTGTAGTACTTACTGAGCTCCCGCTGTGTATGTGGCGGGTTTTGGCTTTCCAGGTCAGCGCTTGCCAACATCTTGGAGTGTCAGCAGCTCAGCAGGAGCTCTTGAAGGAAGTCTTTAGGCTCGGGCCAGAGTCCATTTAACACCGTCACATCCCACTAGATTACACCGCCTCAGAGAGCTGTACAACTAGCTGGTACATCTGCTGCAGGGAAATATGGGCAGCATGCTGGACGCCGGCCAGCGCTTTGATTGACATCCTCTTTATGACACTTCTTACATATTATTACTCTGAAATAATGAATTCCAGGATATAATACGAACCTGTCAATCTTATATGTACACTGAGTAAAATTTATATTGTCAGTCGTGACCCCAGTCATTTAGATTGGAATCGTGTTGAGACCACTTTGTGGCCAACATTGGCAGGAAGAACAATTGGAGCCAGCTAGAAGTTTTGCAGTGTGTACAGTATTGATGATTACAAGACAGAGTTGGAGAAATGTGAAACTGTCTTTCAAAGTTTCTTCTGAGAGATAAGGCCCTTCCAGAGTATGACTCAGCAGGATTAGACTGTCACATCACTGTATAGGAGTGGGTCAGTCGGTGTGTCAGTCAAAATAACTGAACGGATAATTAAAGTACAACCAACCAAATGATATCAGCCTATAAACAGATGTTCAATACAATAAACCACAGTTAACTGGGCTTCACCAAACATACACAGGCCTCACGGACATGCCCACCACACAGACACGTGCTTGCATCGGTGCTTTTGAAGCTATTTAAACAAACTAATGCAATCCAAGCAAGTGTCACCTCGCTGGTGTTGGCTGTACGGCTTAAGTAAGTCAAGGCAGGTTTATCTGTATAACACAATTAGTTATATTAAAAGCAAAGAGGCAGATAAAATCAATCCATAAAAACAGAAATATCATCATTAATTAGACGAGTTCAGATTAAATATGTCCAGCTGTCATATGCACAGCGACATAGAAATGTTTTCAGTCTGGATTTGAACGTTGTCACAGTGGAGGCCCGTCTCACATCTTCTGAAATCCAGTTCCAGGTTTTAGCTGCAGAAAACTGGAATGAAGCCTCTGTTTGGTCCTGAGTCTGGGCATCAGCAGGAGACCCTCCCTGAGGTTCTCAGAGTAGTGGTGGTACTAGTAGTAGTAGTAGTTCTAGTTGAGTAGTAGTAGTAGTAGTTCTAGCCTCAGCGTGTTAAGTTCTGACCCTGGGCACCAGCAGGAGACCCTCCCTGAGGTTCTGTCAGAGCCCGACATGGTCCAGATGGCACCAACATGTCAGAGATGTACTTTGGTGCTGGACCATGAAGAGACTTGGACACAAGCTGTTTTAAAGTCACTTCTCTGAGCGACAGGAAGCCGGTACAGAGACTTGAGCACTGGACTGATATGGTCGTACTTCCTGGTTCTAGTCGGGACTCGAGCAGCAGCGTTCTGGATCAACTGCAGCCGTCTTACAGCTGGTTCAGAGAGGCCAGTGAGGAGGCTGTTATAGTGGTCTGACCTGCATGGATTAGTCTCTCTAAGTCTGGCGTAGACACTCTACCTTTGATTC